AGGCCTCTGTCTGCGTTGGTCGCCCTGCTGGTCTCCTCGTTTGGTCGCTGATGGTTTTGGTCGTTCAGCGACTGGGTCGACAGTGTGAAATGACCCTAAGGGATGCACACATAGTCTAGTGGTTGTGTGCCATCTTTTCTGGAAAATATATGGCAGGCTGCAGTTCTTGTAACCGTGGATAGACAAAGTTTTTCAGCATAACCAGGTAATTTCTGGATGAGACTGTTGCTTCAAAAAAGGAAAAAGTGTCTGATAAAACAGCTGTGCAATAGGCCACACCACACACTAACTTTGGGGCTGTCTCTAATGTGCTCCCGTGTAGCATGAGGGTGTTCTGATCCCCATATGCACGTGACGTTCCGTGAAACGCGGAAGATTGCCCTGTCAGAGAATATGATTTTACTCAGAAATTCTTTGTCTTCATCCAGTTTCTGAAGCATGGTCTCTGAAAATTCCTCACAGGTTACACTATCATCTGACGTAATTTCCTGCGCCAATTGCAACTTGTAAGAATACAGACACAAACATTTTCTTAAAACCTGATGCACTGTCACACGCAGCTTCTGCAACTCACGTGCTGCAGCTAGAGTAGAATTATGTGGACTGTGGACAAAGATCCTGCTTGCTTAACATTCAACATTTTCGTCAGACAAACATGGACACCTCGTACTCTTCACGTGCAAGACGTTTCTGGTCTCCTTAGAATGTTTGCGCCGGGCATCGATCTGTGGTCTTGATATACCGTTCTGAAACGTCTTTGGACCAGTGTATCCAATTTTGTTTTGATAAACCACTCCATGCAGCGTGCTTTCTCCCGTTGGTTCATGGCAACTGACCTAACTCACAAAACAACAGTCTACCACCTACCAGCAACTCATTAAAACTTCAAAAGTTTCTTTCACAGTGGTTGCTCAGTGTATCTATGTCTTTTCATAATAGTAAAGTGGCAAAGAAAATTTTATACATCCTGAATTACTTTGTTTGAATGGTGCAAAATTTGTCTTTTGCTCTGAGGCAATATACGGAAAACAGGAGTTCAGTACTTTATATATCTGCCATGCATTACACACTTCATTTGTGCAAATACAACATAAGCATTAAAATACGAAACAATATGCAGACATTGAGATTCAAATTCATAAACGTAATCTTCCCATGAACACTATTCATGTTTATGTGAGCATGGCTAAAGCACCCAAGTGTAGCCTTCAGCACCTTTTTTTGTTTTGTCAGACTTCACCACATGACTCAGAAAAGTCATTAACATGAATTCACGTTTTTCTCCAAATTACACATATATATTCGTATCCTTGTTTAACAGACATGTGACATAAATAATTATAGTTAATGGATGGTAGAGAAATGCCAAATACGAGGTGCTATCGGAAAGTTTCCAGACTGCGCCTATAAAAAAAACCCCGTACACTTATCTCAGGTATTAAATTCATCCATCACCCTCGAAGTAGTTCCCCTGGGAGTGAACACAACGATCCCAGCGCCGCTGCCAAGCCTGGAAGCATCCCTGGAAATCTTTCTTTGCCAGCCTGTCAAGCACCATCTGCGATCTAACATCTAACCATCCCATCTCTCCTCCCCGAAGCGCTTTCAAGGCGTGTAGTGAGGATAGTAGGTGAATTTCATTTCGCTACGTATCGGACAACAAATATTCCTCAGAGTACAAATTGTAATAATCGTAATTCTCGTTAATATTGAGTACGTGGAATAATTAGACTGCATTAAAGTTCACCTTCATGTAACTCACTACAAGCAAGAATGCCTCACAAAAGTTTGTGCACGACCCATTTCGAAGTATTTCCCCAAATGCTTGCTTTAGCATTTCATAGGTTTCCGTAGCGGTTTTGGCGAGTCTTTGGCAAAATTTGATGCACACGCGCCATTCCGAAATCGCAGGAGGGTCGGTGTAATGCACTACCAAAACGCCCGTAACTAAGAAACAAATGCTAATTCGATGATGCCGGCTGGCACACTGATTCACTATGAATGTAGGCCGCACCCCCTAGCGGCAGAAGCTCGTACTACATCCGGTTCGCCCTCTATTGACACAGTCTTGAAACTTTCCGATCGCACCTCGTACAGACAAATACATGATTATGAATGGCTGAAATTATGATACCAGCTGTACATTTACATCACTTCCGGCTTGGGCGTTAGGAAATTTCAAGCACTTAGTTTTTGTTGCACAGAGTGTACATTAAGGAACAAATAGACACTCTGATACAAAAAAGACATCTGCATTACCAACTCTGTTTTGAAATATCAGAACTGAACACTTCAACTAGATATTTTGATACAGCCAACCTCTTCAATGAAGAGCGCCGTAGAACTATATTTATTGTTAACATCCTTACTTACTCTGTAAAATGTGTGGTAGTTGTTCGGTGATCCACCATTAAAGATGAGATTCTGGCCGAGTCCCTCTGTTATCACATAACGACTCTGCAACAAGGAAGTATTCATGTTAAATAATGGGAATTGACTAAACTTGGCCAGGTAAGCCTATGATGTAAGACAATTTGTTATAATATATTCATCACAAACTTTGTACATACTTTCCTCAAGACGGCCAGATCGAGGAGCGCAACTGTTGAAATTAAATTACAGTTCCTACTAGCCTCAGCAAAAGGACTGAAGCAACTGAATAGAAGGTGTTATACATTTGCTGCTTAATTATTCAAATTATTTGTGTGTTATGGCACTGAGAAGGCTCAAGCTACAGAAATTAAACATTTGGCACCTGATTAAGCGAACAGACTACAGGAACGTAAGAGACAAAAACCATGCTTCGTTATTAACTCATCTTAAAAATTAACAATGTCCTGTGCAGTGCAACATATTATAATTATATAATGTTTTATAATCCCTTTCCAACTGCAGAGATCATGTTCCTGGAAAAACACTGTTGTTGTTAAGATCAAAGTTTATGTCCATTGGTATGCCATTACAGCTCTGTCGCCAGTAAATGTGCATCTCTTGGCATGAAAGCCATGAATTTCAGAACAACTTTCTCCAAAAAATGGTGAAATTGTTTTGCATATGATTTATTAATGCCTACAAGTTTTACCTGAAATAATTTTCAGTGTATGTATTAATTACAGTTTGATACAAAGTGTTACAGCTATCAAATTTAAATTTAAATTAAATTAAGATAATACAATCTATGTTAGTAAGTATCTCCTCATCATCATCATCTCGCTGTCAAGGATTTTGAGCCTTGTGACCCGTTCCGGCCTCAGTCATCCAGGAATCTTTGTAAAGGGCGTCCTTTGTTTCTTTTTCCTATTGGTTTATGTTTCAAAATTTGATGTGGAAATCTGTCCTTGTACATTCTTCGTACATGTTGGATCCAACTCCTTCTGTATCTGTGGATTTTTTTCCAATATTGGCTCTGTTTGTAGTTATTTGTCGATGACATCAATTCTTTTATGATCTCTCCATGTGTATTTGGCTGTTTTTATTAAAAACATCATCTCTGCTGCTGCAATTCTTGATTTGTTGCGTTGTTTCATTATACAGGTTTTGCATCCGTAAAGAAGTGTAGGTATGGCCAAGGTTTTACATATTTTCAATCTAGTTTGTGTTGGGGTCTTAGAGGCTTTAAAGATTTGATTAATGATGTATTTAGATAATTTTGCTGGGAGATCTTTTTCTGTTTCATACGATATTGTATATTCCAGATAGTTAAATGTGTTAATTTGTTGTATGATTGTGTTATTTATTAATATCTTGGATCTGATGGGATCTTGTCATTTAAATGCCATGGTTTTGGCCTTGTCTGTAGACAGCTTTAAGTTATATTTCGAAGCCATCGTTACTAATTTATGTACAGATTACTGTAATGAATTTTATGAGTCATTTATCAGGACCTAGTCATTGGAAAAAAAGAAGAGGTTTTGACATCTGCATTTCTGGAGAGATTTAATCGATTTATGTCCTCATCATTCCACTCAGAGATAATTTCATTCATATATGTGTTAAACAATTTTGGTGGAAGAGGACAGCCTTGTCTTACACCTCTATTTATACTTACTGATTTTGTTGATTTCGAGTTCAATTTAATTTTTATTTCGTTGTGTTCGTATATATTATATATTGCTTGTAATAATGGGTCGGGTTTATTTCTCTTACATAAAATTTCAAATAAAGGATCTATCAACTTGATCAAAAGCCTTTTCATAATACAGGAAAAGTATGTGTGTTTCTAAATTAAATTCCCTCCTCTTTTCAATTAATAATTTTAAGCTGAACACAGCATCTGTGCATGAACGACCTAAGTATCTAAACTACCTAATTCCATCTACGCCCATACATTCACTGCGATATTGCATGTGGATGGACAGACAACATAAAACTAGTATATGAACAGCCAATGGTAAAAAATAAAGGTTTTATCGTTGGGGTACGGGAATCTGGGGACAAACATCTCCTTTGAAGATAAGTTGTCAAAATGAAAAAAAAAATCAACTGAGCTAACATCAATCATTTACAGTATCCATATTCTGAAGAGAAAATCAATTGAAATAATTTTAGTCATTCAAATAACACTTGTATATGAACAGAAAATATAATAAACATCACTTTGACTCAAAATGACGTTTAGTATAAATAACATAGTCAACTGTGTGAAAGGAGACAACTGCATGAGTTTTACTGAGAACATGCAAATAATTCGATGTCCTTTACTTGTAGATCAGCCTGTAGTTAACACAGGAGAGCTATAAAGATCCGTTGTCTTACAAAGCCCAAACACGTGAGTGCTCGGAGCACATTGCGACACTGATTTTATCAAGGTATCAGGTTTGTTATTTGGCTTTAGTATAATCTTTATTTTGTCGCCCTTGGTGGACTAGTGGTTAGCGTGTACCCAAGGTTTGTGGGTTCATACCCGGCCGAGGTCGATGGATTTTTAAGGGTGATAAAAATCCATAGCACAACTTCCTTCGGAAGGGAAGTAATGCCGGCGGTCTCACGTCGTAGATTTATGGCACATAAAAGAACCTTACGAGCATGAACGAGATGTTTCGTAAGCAAAATTCAGCGGCCATTTCTCACCCAAAAAGTCTCCTGATTAACTGCTAGATGGCTCTAGCAGAGAAATCAGGATTGAGTAGAAATTGTGCGGAGGCAGTGGGCTTGTCTCTCAATATTCATAAATGCACACTTCAAAGACAAGGCTCGCCTCGGACTGTTGCACCATAGAAGAAGAAAAAGACAATCTTAATTTTGTGATGGATAATAATGAAACTGTTTTGAAGTATTCGTGTCTCATTTAACTCAATACAAGTCTATGGGGAAACCGGTTTATTCCATTCTTTATGAACAGTTTAATCATTAACATGAGATGTATAAAACATTTGATGAATATCAGTCGAAACACAAAAAAACACGAAGAAATTCTATGGGAAGAGTGCCAGTTCCACTCCTGTTATTTTATACTCACATGCGAAGAGGAGATGTCCTCTATTGTCAAATAATCGGCATTACAATTGTAACTGGCTTCAATGTCTAGATCAGCAAAGTGTAGATCAAATCGCTGATACTGGTCACTGGTGAGGATCCAACGACATCTTACATTGGGAGGGTAATTTGACGGGTAGCCTGGAGATGTCAGATCCTGCAGCACGTTGGTCACGTTCCGTATTGGTGACCCGCACACTGCTGCACATCCATTGTAACACACACTTATATTAGTATCTTGAGACCAGTATCATTGAAATTATCAAGTGTGAAGGACATAGACTGGTAGCCAAGGGACATCAGATCTTGTGTTCCTGAACTGATGAGTGTCATAGCAATTTGGATTTAAACGTAAATCTACATTGAATAAAAATTTTCTTGGATATTATCCATCCGGACCGGAGATAGGGATTAGCTCTATCTAGTGGGCCCAACTGTGTAGGAACCTGAAGACGGAGATAGAGTCCCATCTCCGAAATGTCGTTTTACGTTTAATATTTACTAGACGATGGATAATATCCAAGAAAATTTTTATTCAATTGACTCTTCACCATCGTCAAGAAGTTTTAGATCTGATATGTAAATCTACATGTTTAACAATATTAAAAAATGTGGTAAATAAAGTGAGGTCCTGTGTGATCCTCTTTTGTCATTTAATTAGCATGTTGGGCCTATTAGAGAAAGCATATTACAGCAAGGAAAAAATGTATGCTGAATAATATGAACATAGTGTATGCACACATAACTTGCTATGCTATTAGATAATATATATACTATATATTAGCATGTTACCCTCGGTGGACTAATGGTTAGCACACTTCCCACTGGACCCAAGGTTCGTGATTTAAAACCCAGTGGAGGTCGATGGATTTTTAAGGGTGATAAGAATCTGTAGTATAACTTCCTTCGGAGGGTAAGTAAAGCCAGTGGTCCCATGTCGCAGACTTATGGCATGTAAAAGAACCTTAAAAGCATGATCGAGATGTTTTGTAAGGAAAATTCAGTAGCCATTTGTCGCCCAAGTCTCCCCTGATTCACTTGAGTCATGCCTCATGGCTTGGAGTGGCCTATCTCCCCCCACCTCCATGATCTTTGGAGTCACAGGCTTCGATGCTCTTATGAGGCAGTGCGGCGGCAGTCTTGTGTGTCTGCCACACAGGGACATTGCCTGAGGACAGAATTTACAGCCTGTTCAGGACTAGGACTAATTTGCGTTTGGTTCTGCGTATGTGAAATGTAGCTGGTCGGGATTCCGGCCGAAGCCTGAGCTGTGTGAGTTTGGTTTGCTGTTTTTTATTTATACATTTAATATATTTTGGTAATTTGGATAGTGCCTTTTATTTATTTTGGGTTAACCTCTGTGGTCCTACGGCCGTACCACCTCCCGGACTCTGGGTAAACTTCGTGACTTTGGGTGGGTGTTATTACAATCCTGAGAGTGCCTGTAGGGTGCACACTATTAGATGGCTCTAGCAGACAAATCAGGATTGAACAGAAATTGTGCAGAGGCAGTGGGCTTGTAACTCACTACTCATAAATGCACATTTCAAAGACAAAGAAGCCTCCCAAATGGGAGGAGGCCAAGGCTCGGCTTCGGGCTTGCGCCATAGAGTCAGCCAGTCATATTAACATGGTGCCATGTATAAAAAGTTGTGCACCATTGCCATAGTGTACCAGAACAATGTCCATGCACTCGTGTACAATACCTATCCAGTCAAACCGACATTTATAGTTGCACTGGGGGTGGGGGTGGGTGGGGCTGGAAAAAAAAAACAGTCAGGATAGCCACTCACCAGCCAATATTCAAACTCACAATCTCCAAAATGCCAATTTACTCAGTAAAAGTGAGTGAATTAACACAGTTAAACAATATGGTCACTTCCAATGGCTACTGTGTAAAACGTGTGTTACTAATCAGTAAAATACTTCAACTCTTTCAGTTTAAATAGATGTCTTCTGGGTTGTAGCACCATGTAGTCTGGTAGAAGACTCATCGCAACAACCCAGAAGACAGCCATCTTCATCATCATCCATGGTCTGAAGAGTACTTAAATGTGCAACACATAGCTGAGCATTTCTGTGGGCTGGAGGCAGGCAAATATTTCATCATAAGCTATGACTATCACAATCGCTGCCATAATTTTCACTAAAGAATGTTTATTTATTCTTCCATTAGGTGTTGGAAACCAGACACTCATAAATTTTCCTTTCAGCCACTGTTTAATCATTTAATGACATGTGACATTTATATGGATTTGCTGAATTATGATTTTTATACTTAAGTTCATTTATCTTACTGTTACATATTGTAACACCTCTAAGTAGCACTAATTAAATTTCTCTTGCTGTATGGAGTTATTCCAATGGATATTTAAAGGTAAGTGCAAGCTATAGGCAAAACATAAGTGATTAAATAAGGAAAAATGATAAATTCACTCTGATCTTATCACAATGAAAAAAGGGAGTTTAAATCCCTAGCTGGTCAGAGATTACCTCTGGAATTTAAATTTACACGTATGCTAGTGTAATGCATTGCTATACACAAGCCGTGTCTCATGTCCAATAAATGTTGAACTTTATGAAAATATTCTAGACGTGTACGTAAGGTGTACTTACAAGGAACACCACTGACGATGGCACTGAATGTGTTTGCTGTGACTCCATTCTCGGACACAAAGGTTATCCACATCTGATTGGAGGACGATGTGATGGTAGGAGGGGGCGAGTTACCACAGAAACTTTTAATCAACTCTGACAGTGGACCAGGACCATCACGGACCTGCACAAAAATAAGGGAAACTGTTCATCTTGTTGCTGTTATAAAGCATAACTTTTCCACAACCATCTCCTAGGTCCAGGTGACATGATAACATGCACTAGTTGTTTTGATTTAGGTTAATTAGTGACATTCCTCATGAGTAGAGGTTATTTGAAGTCGAATGAGATGAGGGGATAATTACAGACGGCAAATTGGAGAGGACTCAGAATTAAGTATTTTAAGTGCTTGATTTTTGTTGCACACAGTGTACAAACTGATGATCAAGATCAAGTCTGACAATACTGAGATGACACAAAAAAAATCCATTCATGGCAGTTATTTTAATATCTGCACTATTTAGTTTCAAATGTTTAAACACACGCCTGAAAACGTAAAACAGATAAAAATTATTGAATATATGGAAACATATTTCTGCCAAAAATAAGTCAATAATAAAAGCAGGGACAGTTCTGTTTATCAGTGGATATCATGCCTATAGTAGCCAGCACCAAGCATGCTTCAGGGCCATGGAAGAACTTCACCTCCCTCTTACCACACAGCTCTAAGTCACCAGTACAGCACCGCTAGCTTTGCTACACTGAGCTATCAGCAGTTTTAACTTGCACAACTTTCGTGTTACCTTGAGACATGCAATTTGGTGATGGCTATCACCATTTTTTTAAAATTCCCTCATAATATTTTGGAGGCAGCAGTATGAAGACTAGGACATTTGAAAAAGTTCTGAAGTCACATCGTGGGATTTTACAGTTCATAATTCCTTAAGGATATATTATATTTTGGTATTACACATAACACAGACCATGTACCAAAAATTGTAGAAAATTCCAGTGATTACATCAACAATATTGAGGCGGTGTGCTTCGATATGGGGAATGTGAGGAATGCCCGAAAAAATTGGGCTGGAGTACATGTTATGGCAACGGCATACGAAATGGTCTTCGTTTGATTCTTCATTCTGTGTTTACCAGCAAACAAAACACAATTTACGTGCTTAAAAATTAATTCCAAGTATAAGAGTAAAACATTCTGTTCACAATAAAATATTCTGCAAGAATTTATCATCATATAAGAAAAATTCAGTAATTCTAACATGTAAAATTTGATGTCTTTTAGCTGGAATTCATTTATTGGTTTATTTAACAATGCTGTCAGGTTAGGTTAGGCTATGTAGTGTAAAATGATACCAAGAACAGTAAATAATAAATTAGAAAACATATGAAAGGAAGCAGTTATGGTCTAATTCAAGGAACTATACTGGCATTCGCCTGGAGAGACAGAAGAGAACCACGATAAACCTCAGTCATAATAAACGTGGTAACTCTAGAACATAATGGAGTGCCAACCAGTTCAGCCATTGTCCCGTACAACTGTACATTAGCCTAATTTAAATACCCTTTGTCTTGAAAAAAGTAAAAGTTCACACTAAAGACTGGGAATTATGCAACAAAACATATTATTTATTATCCGAGAGAGAGAGAGAGGAAAGACACATAGCAGGACCAAACAGTAAATAAATTATTTACCCCCTTTTCCAGATTTCAGTAGACAAAACAAAACTCTTTGCTTCATAGTAAATTCTGAGCACAAGTGAAATATCTGTGCAAGGCAAAACGAGCTGTATACATTTCTAACTGCATGAATCAAGTCATGTCAAAGAGAAATACACTGAACAAAGGATCACTTTCTTAAAGGATCAAATTCACATGACAAATCACTCACTCTATGGCGCGGGAAATTATTTGAAAAGTCGACTGTATACTCAGCTTGTCAAAAAATAGCCCACTTTCTTTATGGAACTCAAATGTTCATCACCATGTTCACAAAAGCCCATTATACTCTATCCTGAGCCAGCTGCATCCAGGTCCCTCCATCAATTCCCATCTCCCTGAGGCCCATTTTAATGATATCCTCCATCTACGCTTAGGTCTTCCCAGCCGTCTCCTCCCTTCAGGCCCCCAAACCAATACCTTGTATACATTCCTTCCCATTTCCCATGCGTGCCATATGTCCCACCCATCTCATCCTCCTCGATTTAATACCCCAACAATATCAAGTGAGGAGTACAGGCCGCGAAGCTCATCATTATGCAGTTTTATCCATGATTTGTCTTCTTCCCTTTTAGGTCCAAATATCCTCCTCAACACTGTGTTCTCAAAAGCCCTGAAATTATGTTCCTCCCTCAAAGTTTGAGACCATGTTTTGCACCCATATAGCACAACTGATAAAATTACACTTTTGTATATTTTAATCATTAGTTTTTTTGATATGAGATGGGAGGACAAAACATTTTCTACTGAATGTCATTCCGACTTGTTAGTGTCGTCCCCAAGTACTTGAATTTTGTCACATTTTCGAACGATTCATTAGCTATTCTTATATTCTGGTTCTGTCCTGAATTCTGATGCCGAGACATGATCATGTACTTTGTCTTTTCTGCATGTATTTATCGACCAACATCCCTACTAGCAAGACTTGAGGTTCTCACAGCGGTGAGTATGAAGATTTCCGTCTTCTGGGTTGTTGCGCTGTGTAGTCTGGTAGGTGTTTACCAACGTTTCAGAGGTCATACTGCCTCCGTCATCAGGGCGATGAGTATGAAGATTTCTGTCTTCTGGGTTGTTGCGCTGTGTACTCTGGTCAATGTTAACCAACGTTTCAGAGGTCATACTGCCTCCATCATCAGGGCGATGAGTATGAAGATTTCTGTCTTCTGGGTTGTTGCGCTGTGTAGTCTG